CCCGCTCTCCCCCCTCCCTTTTGACAAGAAGATTCTTAGATCTTGGCACAAGCCACTTTGGATAACTTCCTTGGTGACAGGAGATGGAGGACCATCTTTCTTGATATTGACGTTTCAAAGTTATGTCCCAGAACCTTAAGAAAAAGATCCCATGTTTGTATCTGACAGAAGCTTATTTAACTTTTATAGAGAGAAAGAGACACAGAGGAAGTAATGTAATTACAGATTTTTTTCCCCCCAAGAAAATCCTCAAAGTAAAGGAAGAAGGAAAAATATCTCATCCTTTTATCCTTTTGACAGTAGGGAAAGCTTCAATCATTTTTCTTCTTTTTAACCCTTATAGTAAAATTAGTGCACTCCCTAGCTATGACTTTTTAGCTCAGCTTTTTTTTTCTTTTTGGAGCGGATATTCCATACTGAGTTTGAAGGAACTTTCAGGGCTTAAAGAGCCAGGAAAGTAAGTTTTTCTGTCTGTTTGTCTCTCTCTCTGAGGATGGCCTTAGGCCTGAGCCTAAGCAACTTCATTTTTTAAACTCCAGTTTGAAACCTGCAGTCTCACCAGGCACATCCAACAGATCCCTCCAGTATGGCCTCAAGCAAGTTACTTCCCCTCACCCTGAAAAACAGAGTGAAGCCTCTGTCAGGCTGGATGTTTCTGACCCCAGGATAAATGATGTCAAGGAGAAATCCAGAGGTAGCTGATAAAGATTGAAAGGGTGGGAGTCAAAAGGCCCAAAATTTAGTATAAATAATAGAGCTGATGAACAGGAATTCAGCCAGCTGAAACAAGGATACAATCAAGCTGGAGAGCCTGATGAGGACCTGACATCCTGTCACTTGTCATCGTTTCCTGATCCTCTTTCCATCCTCACTGCTCTCAAACTCTACAACCTCATCTGGACCATGGTGAGAGCCACAACTCCTCCTTATGATCCCCTCCTCAACTGGTTGTCCACTCCACACCAGAAAAAGCCTGCCTTGGTTCACTCAGACATGATCACCATGGTCTGAGTGAGTGTGCATCTGCTGGACTTAAAGCCTAAGGCTAAAGATTTTTGAATTTAGCATGCAGAGGGAATGTCTGACATTAGCCTGTCATGATTAAGTGTGTTTGCAGTGCTTAGAGTTAATCTAGAATTGTTTGCTGTGAATTGATTATGTCTATTGCAGCGCCTAGTATTAAGGATTGTCCTTTTCTTAAGAACCTATAGAGTGAAATTGTATTGAGCAATTTGAGTGAATAAAACATTGAAAGGGGCAGAAGCATGTAGACATTCTTTATTTCTCTCTTTGACTAATATGTTGCAATTTTGCCCCCTTGCAGCACTCATACACACATACACACGTGTACATATATGTGTACATATATATGAGGTTGTTACTGGCTGCCAAGCCAAGGGACCTGCCTGCATCTGCCCATGTAAGAAATAAACAATGAAAAGACAAAAATGAATTTTATGCAGTTTTATCAAACTGGGGAGAAACAGCAAGATTTTTTTCTCTGCTGGTTGTTAAACCATGTCACAAAAGAAAAGACCACTGACTCCAATTGAAATCAAATTAAAGCAAGCTTGTAATTCCTACTGGCTGGGGCTGTCTCTCCCAAAACCCATGGGAACAAGACAGCCCCACAGCTTTCTAGGAGCGCAGCTTTAAAGCACAGAAAGTTGCAAAAAGGGGCAGGGTGTCTTAAGAACTTACAGATTATAGGATTTTGACAAGCATAACACAAAGGCAGGTAGTAGGTTAATGGTCCAGCATGTAGGGAGTAAATTTAGATTCCAACATCAGAATTTATGAGGCGCCACTAGAATTTCAGAGAGGGTCCTTATCTGGCCAGGGAAAGCCAGGCATGGGTGAGTTCAAAGCATGGGCAGGCATTTCAAGCAAGGTTAGAGATCGCAGTAATTTATACTAAAGCTGAAATCAACTTTTCATGCTTTTGTGATGAAATGGCCCTCAATCTTAAGAGGGAATTAGGCTGGGTTTATCATGGTCCCACAGAAGCAGTTACAATTTATGGAAACAAAAGCCAGGTGATATACATATGTAGATTTAGCTGGGCTGTGCTAGCCAGAGAACATTCCAGTTTTAGCTTCCTTGGAACTGCAGCTAAATCAAGAAATAGTTTTTATTCTTTGTTTTATTCTTTGTTTCAAGGTGACCACAGGGGTTAGAGGGAACATTGGAAGATTGACAAATGTAGGCCCAATAAAAAGGCATTTAAATGTAGATGTAAAAACCAAACTAGCAGCTGCTATGTGTACCAAACAAATAAGACAGATTCAGAAGGGCTCTTATTTGCTCACCTTGAAAGAAGTTAACATGGTAGTGGAAAGAACACAGAAGATGATGCCAAGAATATTTTATTTCATTGATGACACATGCAACAAGTATGTAAGTATGCCACTAGTAGTCCTGGGAATGGCCATCATTCCAGGGACATCATGGGAGGTATATGAAAGGCCCAAGAGCTCCAGGACAGCTGGGACTGACAAACATATAGCTTGAGGAAATTCAATATCCTGCATATGGTGAAGAAATTTTATGTGGTGATCTAAATGCAGCATCCCTAGTAGGGGGTTCAAGGGATGACTGACTATCAGCAATAGGAAAGTCTAAGTGAGTGAAGTCTGTTTTGGTCATCATTGGGTTTTACATTAAAACTACTGACCTTGGGCACTTGGCTGCAAAGCTGGTGCTTGGAAGTTGAGTGTGGAGTTATGAACATGGTAGCTGCCACTGTAGCCATCATGGGACAATAAGCTGAGATCTACCCTACCTATAGAGTAACTGTGGAAGACCATACCAAAATAGAGAAAATTGGGGAAGGTACTTATGGAGTTGTATATAAGGGTAGACACAAAACAACAGGTCAAGTGGTAGCCATGAAGAAAATCAGACTAGAAAGTGAAGAGGTAGGGCTTCCTAGTACTGCAAGTCAGGAAATTTCTCTATTGAATTTCTTTCTATGGATCTCAAGAAATACTTGGATTCTATTCCTCCTGGTCAGTTCAAAGATTCTTCACTTGTTAAGAGTTACTTGTATCAAATCCTTCAGTATATTGTGTTTTGTCACTCTAGAAGTTCTTTACAGAGACTTAAAACCTCTTATTTATGATGAAGAACAATGAAACTAGCTGATTTTGGCTTTCCAGACCTTTTAGAATACCTATTAAGGTATATACACATAAGATAGTACCACTCTGGTATAGATCTCCTGAAGTTTTACAGGGGTCAGCTCATTACTCCACTCTATTTCTCATTTGAAGTATAGGCACCATATTTGTAGCATTGGCAACAACACAAAGATACTCCATGGTATGCCAAGGGACATGAGGGACATGGTCAGGGACTCAGGCAAGTGCCCAGGCACGGGGACTGGAGTGCAAAGAGTCATGGTTAGGGAGGGCTGGGTTGGGGAAGGGACACCATGCAAGGTGAGATGGCAAGGGGAGGGAAAAAAGGGGATCTCTCAGGACTGAATTGGAGCAAGTCTCATGTTAACTGCCAGGCCTCAAGGTTCGGGCTGCGAAGGGGATGCAGGTAAGTGGCAGGGCTGTGTTTCCCATAGGGAACATTCAGAGCACAGAGGCCAGCCAATTCCACTCCTCTGCCCCAGGTGAGTAGATCCTCAGAGAGGGACCTGAACCAAAGTAGGGGCAAAAGGGGGTACTGTGAGGGGATACCTGGAGTGCGGAGGTAGGGTGGACTACCAGTATCCATTTGAGGAGCCTAGGCTAGGGAGAAGCAGGGGGAGCGGAGGGTCTGGGCAGTGCCAGGATACCACAGGATGAGGGGAACAAAGGGGAGGCACAGGAGTGGGCTGGCAAAGGGGTCTGAAACCAAGGGATAGTGACAGGGTCCTCAAGAAGGGCGGCCAGGGGCTCAAGCAAGGAGCTGGGCCCAGTAATGGAGAGCCAAGTGCTAGCACCTGGGCCTGAGTGAATGAAAAGGGACATGGATCTGGAGGGGAGAAAGAGGAGCAGGTGGCACAGGAGGAGGAGGGCTCAAGGCCCAGGTCCACTGCAGGGTGTCAGGATGAGCCAGGCTGAGGGAGGCCAAAGGGCCCAGGCAAGGGGCAGGGTTTCATTTTCCCAAAGGGAGCTGCAAGGCCAAGAGGCCAGGTCAAGTCCCCTGGCCCGAGTTTGTATCCTGGGAAGGGTATGAGGAAAGTGAGCCAGGCAGAGACAGAAAGGAGGGCTAAAGGAGGGCACAGCCTGAAGGGCCCCAGGACGGGTGTGGGGATGGTGGGGGTCAGGACTCGAGGAAGGAGCCCAGGCAGGAGACCTAGAGGAGGGCCCAGGCCAGGGGAGAGCAGGGAGGGTCTGGGCTGCGCTAGAGTCCTGCA